AAAAAAAGAGAATTTTTTTTTTTTTTTTCTCAATGTAATTTTTAATAAATTAATCTTGAAATTGATAAATAATTATTCAAAAAAAATATTAAAAAAAACGTCCACTTTTAAAAAAATTATTTGAATAAATGAAGATATATGAAATTAAAAATAAGTGTATTCATATGAAGATAAATTAAGAAAAATTTCATCACCAAAGTCTAATTTATATGACAATTTTTTTTTTAGAGATGCTAAATAATATAAAATAATTTTGAATTAAAAAAAAAAAAAAAAAAGATATTTTTTAATTTCTTAGTACGTTACTTTATTTTTTTTTCTATTTTTTTAGTTTTTTTTTTTTTTTTTAAATTCTTAAATATGAATCTCTAAATTTATATTTTTCTTGTAAGTAGTATTTTTGTTTTCATATGCGAATTAGCGCTTTATTTTTATTTATTTATTTTTTATTTTATATTTTATTTTTCATTATAATATTGGAACAATGAAAGAAATAGCATTGTATAATAATAATTTAAATTTTGAAAATATAAATAAGAATGAAAGTATAATATTATCAGAAGAAAATTTTGAAAACAAATTAAATGCTACAAATAAATCGAATAATTATAAAATGAAATCATCTATTTCTTTTCATACTGCTTCATCTACTGCTTCAATGAAAAGTATAAAAAAAAAAAAAAAAAAATTGAATTGTAATGAAAATAAAAATAATAATACAGATGAAAAACTTAATAAGAATGATGTAAATTTATTGAGATTTAATGATATGGAAAAAAGAAATTTGTTTGATGAAAACAATTTAAGTTGTGATAATAAAATGACTTTAAAATGTAGGAGTTTAAGTAATAATAAAGTAGTTTTAAAAAAATTAGAATATGAAGATAATAATTTTAATTTCATTTTTAAAAAAACGAAATCTTTTAATTTTCAAAATAGTTTAAAAAAAAAAATAAAAAATAATAAAAACAAAATAATTATAAATAGATTGAAAACTATCCAAAGTGAAATTCTTGATTTTAAAGTAGATAACAATATATATAATGAAAAAAAAGAAAAAAATATAGTTATAGATTCATTAATTACGTCAGATGAGAACGAAATGAAAAAAGAAGGAATATTACTTCAGTATGAAAAATATAAACATAAAAAAAAAAGAAAAAAAAAAATTAAATCAAGATTATTTAAAAAAAGTGTTTGTTATTCTAATTATATTTCTCCTGATATTATAAACTTGTTAAATCAAACTAAATTAAATTTAACCTTTTATCAAAGAGAAGCTGATGATTTCTTAAATGTTATAAGAAATCTCCAAAATATGTAAAAAGAAAAAAAAAAAGAAAAATGCTTAAAAAAAAAAAATCAAATATTTCTAATTATCTTAGAATCTCTAGTTTTATTATTAATAATATATAAATTTTATATTTTTACATTAATTTATTAAAAATGCTTTTGTTTATTTTAATTTTTCTTTTTTTTTTTTTTTTTTTAGAGTTTTAATAGAAAGAGAAAAATATAATGAATTAAAAGAAATGCTAAAATATACTACTGAAGAAATAGAAAAAGAAAATAATAAATTATATGAAGAATTGAATATATATAAACAGAAATATTACAAATTAAAAAAACTTATATCAAATATTGGTTATGGTATTTTTTTTAATATAGATAAAAAGGAAATGAATTATAAATATAATAATAAAGATAATGCATATATAAATTTCGAAAAATTATATATAAGTGAAGATAATGAAAATCAAAGTGAAAATGAATATGATTACATTATGGTTAATAAAAAATTGAATTTTGCAAAAGATAAACATGATAATAACAAATGTATTAAAAAATCTAAGAATAGTAATCATTCCTCTTTATTAAATTACTTAGATTTTTAAAAACATATTAAAAATCAATTTATATTAATATTGGATATATATGTATTATAATGTTTGTACATTTATGTAAAATTAGTTATTTTTTTTTTTTTTCTTTTCTTTTTTATATTCATTTGTTTTTAACACCTAGATAAATATACATTATTTTTTTTTAAAATAAATATCAGGTGTCTACATATATTTATTATAGCTAAAAATCATAAACATAAGTGTTTATATTATATATATGTTTTTCTTTGTTTACAAAATTAGTAATAAAAATACTAATATTATTTATTTCTTTTATTTCTTTTTTTTTTTTTTTTTTTTTTTTTTTTTTTTTTTTTTTTTTTTTTTTTNNNNTTTTTTTTTTTTTTTTTTTTTTTTTTTTTGTTATTTTGTTTTTTCCATTATTTATTAAAATATTTCCTACATATTAACATATTGTTAATTTTTATTTTAAAAATTTTCACTGTTTTTAAGCATTATTTTATTTTGATTTTAAAATTATCTAAATATAAGCAAATATTCTTACAAAAAACTGAATATTTCTAAAAAAAAAAAAAAAAGAAATAATATTTATTTATAATATATTCTTATATATACTCTTCATCAAGATAAGAATAAAGTAATCCTTGGATTTTTTGCAAATAAAAATTTTTATAATTAGATGACATTGATACTATGGGTTTTATTTCTTTTTGAATTTTTTTAAAAATTTGATTAGCAACATTAATATCTTGATTCCCATATAAATCTTTTTTATTAAATAGACATATTTCTTTTTTTTTTCTAAAAAAGTAATTAACACTAATATTTAATTTAGTATTTAAACAAAAATCCTTGCAAGTGCTTTTTTTTTTTTTTTTTACTTTATTGCTGTTTTCGTTTTCAGTTATACCACTATTTTTTAAATATTCACATTTGTTTTTTCTCATATTATTAATATTTTCTACATTTCCTTCATTTTCTTCATTTTCTTCATTTTTTTTGATTTCAAATTTTCTTTCTTCTTCTAGTTTACTAAAGTTAACTTTATTATCCTCCCAAATGTTTCCATTAATGGAAATATTGAACATCTTACTTAAATATTCTTCATAATTTTCTAAGTGACTATAATGCTTTATTAAATCATCTTTATCAATAATTTGATCTACAGGAATTTTATAATTGCATTCGTCTACTTTATTAATATTTAAGATATCATTTGAATGTAATTTTAATGGATTTTTTTTATACTTACTGAAAAATATTTTTTTATTTAAGTTTTTTGTATTTTTGAAAAAAAAATAATTTAAAATAGTTTTCCTATCTTTTAAATGTAACCAAGTTCTTAATGATTTATTTTTTTTTACATTTTTAAATTTAGAATTTAAATAAAAATTGTTTGTATTATGTTTTTTTTTTTTTTCCTTACAATTCTTTGAACTATTATATATTAAATTTTTTTTGTTAATAACCAAGTGCTGGTGGAGATTATTATATTTTTTTTTTATATAAGTATGTGAAGGCATATTGTAAACATAATGCAACCATAGTGAAGGAATAAATAAAATGTCTCCTTCAAATAAATCAGCCACTAAAGCAAATTTTATAAGTATTTTTTTTATAATTCTTTCTTTTTTATTTAAATTTTTCTTAACTAAAATATGAAATAAATTATAAACAGAAGAAGAATCAATAATATTAAAGTATTTTATGAATTTCGGATGAATTAACAAAATTTTTTTTCTTCCTCTTATTTGAATTAAAAAATTATCCGGTATGTCATAATGTAACCAAATAAAAATGTTTGTTTGACCAATTCTTAAAATTGATGAAAAAAATTCAAAATTCTCATATGAAGGATAAATTTCTTTAGGTAAAAAAAAATTATCTTTAATGAAAGAATCCATTTTTTTTATATCTGATACATCTTTAAAATGATTTACACCTAATGATCTATAATAATAATAATTGTTATGTTCATTTTGGTTTTCTTTTATCTGATTCATAAAAAAGTTATTAATTTCATTTCTGTTAGTGTTCAATGGAATTTTGTTTTCTATATGATAATTATTAGTGAAATTTTCATTTTTAACTTTATAACATCTGTCTTCACTGTTGTTAGTTTCTTTATTTTCCTTTTTATTTTTTCCTTCAATAGTACTTGTATTTTTTAGTGTTATATATATTTTCCCTTTGTGATAACTAACTGAAAATTTTTTTTTTTTTTTATCTTCCTCTGAAATTAAAAAAATAAAATCTTCTAATGATGATAAAACATAACGAAAATTTTTATTAACATTATTTAAGAATTTAGAGTTACTAACATGTATGCTCACTTTTGTTTTTCCTATGTTTTTAATAATATTTTTATTATCAAATTTTTTTAAGCATTTCCCTATTTTATGATTTAAGTTACTAATAATAACTGGCTTATTTTTTTTATAATAATAATTATAAAAGTAATTGGATGAAAAATTTAGGGGTACATTGATTCTTTCTACTACCTGTAAATTATATTTTTTTATCAATTTTTCAAAGAGACAAGCTGTTTTTATTTCATCTTCAGATATGTTTTTAATGTTTTTATTTATTAATTTGCAGTAGTTCTGAATACTTTCTTTTTTTGTTTTATTCATTTTTATTTTTATTTTTTTTTCATTTTCTTTTTCATTTTTTCCTTTCTTCATTTATTCATTTTTTTTTCTCTATTTTAAATTAATTAGAACTTTTAATTTGCACAATTTAATAAAAAAAAAAGTTAATTTTTCGTAATATTCACCTGTAGAAAAGTCAAAAAATTTTTCAAATGTTCTAGATTTTTTTAATTCATTGTAATAATATTTTATTAAAATTTTAGCTAATTTTTTTTATAATTTTATATCATTTATATTTTAATTTTTTTTTTTTTTTTATATTTTGAAACATTGTTAATCTTTTTTTTTTTTTTTTTTAATTTTCTTTTACATTACTTTTTTCATTTTAATTTGATTTGTATTATTTGTTTTATTCTTTTTTTCTACTTTATTTGTTTTATCTTTATAACTACTTTATAAAAAAATAGCATATAAATATACGTAAATAAATTTTTTTCAAGATAATTGTAACAACAATTTTATATTATGTGTAAAATATTTATTAAATTAATATCTTGAATTTTTGATTATCATTAATAATTTTTGTTAATATTTCAAAATATATAAATTTTTTTTTTTTTTTTTTTTGTATTTTACTATATAGCAAGTATAGTACTTTTTTTTTGTTTGTAATTAGTAACACAATCGTTAATTTGAAATTAAAAAATTAGGGAAGGAAATGTAGATGTTCAAAAAAAAAAAAATAAAAGGAAAAGACTTATATGAAAAAATTAAAAAAATATATTTGTAGAGATTTACTATATAAATTTTAAAGAATATTTTTAAACACTATATTAATTTAAAATGGTGGAAACAACAAGTACATGTGATTTGCATAAAAGAGAACAAAGGTATTATTTGAATCATAACAAAAAAATTAAAATAATTGAAAACAAAATTGATAAGGAGGGATATTTTGATAATTTTAAACTATGCGAGAGTGAAGAAAATGAGAAAAGCATACATTTAAATAGCAATTCATTTAATTGTGATTTAAAACTTTTTGATAATATTTTTAATGAACAAATTTTAGAAAATAATAATAATAATATAGAAGATGATAATAAATTTATTTTAATAAAAAAAGAAGAAGAAACGTTAAATAGTAATGATTCTTTTCCTTTTACTTTTTTTAAAGTAAATAGAGATGAAAAAATAGAGAATATATCTGATAAAATAAAAGTGAATAAGAAGAATAATAAAAAATTAACTGACATTATTATTTTAAAAAATATTTTAAATTTGTATTTTCTGTTTGATGATAAGAATTGTGGATATATTGATTTTAAATATTGTTCATATGTAATTAAAAATATTTACGAAAATAATATTAATTTTTTGATAGAACACATTAAATTAAATGAAAATGAATTTAATAAAAATAGATCAAAATTTAACACTGAAAAAATAGAAATAAATCAAAAATTTTGTACAAAATACTTTGCAAAATTTCTACTAGTTGTTTTAAAAGATATATCAATTTTTCAAAAAAAAAGTGGAGTTTTAAGTAAAGAGAATTTTATAGAAATTATGCATCAATTTATAGACACAAATAGTTATATTAATAATATGTATGAAATTTTTAAATATCCGAAAAATATAATAACAGACTTTTATAATTATATACATTATATAAATACAAGTGTTGATGAAAAAAAAATGAAAAAAATAAGAATTACAAAAAAAAAAAAGAAGTTAAAAAACATATTTTTTTTTGATGATCAATTAATAAATGCTGATTTACACACTCATATAAATTATTTTAAAGAAAAAAAAAACAAAAAATTAGAAAATATAAAGCTAGAAAATACCATAAAAGAAATGAAAGAGTGTACTTTCTTACCTTATATAACAAAAAAACCTAGCTATTTATTAAAGAAAAAAATAGAAAATAATATGAACCAAATTATTAAACAGCCAAATGTAAAAAAAAAATACACGAAACTAGAAATATTGTATGACATTGATCATACAATTGAAAGAACTTTAATTCTTCCTAATAATGTAGTTTTAAAGAAATTTGATGAAAATTATGAACATTTATGTAATGACAATAATAAATCAATAAAGTTAAAGTATATAATTCATCAAGGATATGAAAAACCAAAAAAAATTTGTTGGAACGACACTTTAAGAAATAAAAGAATTAATTCAATTCAACAATTATTTAATAAAGAGGAAAAAAAAAAATGTAAAGTAAATAATAATAAAAGTATTGTAGAAAACGTTAAAAAAAATAACATTACTCCAAAAAAAATAGCACTAAGTAAAATATTTAATAATAAGATTTATGTAAATAATAATAATATTTTAGATCCTTTAATTATTAATTCTAGAAAATTATTAAAAGAAGATAAAAAAATCTGCAACAAAAATTTTATTTAAAATGGAATTATAAAATACCATAGTCTTTTTTTTTTTTTTTTTTTTTTTTTTTTA